ATCAAGCGTCCAGCTGAGGAGGAGGAGGCAGTCGTGGAGTAGCGTGCAACTACTGCATCTAAGAAGTCTTTGGCGTTCGCGGTAGCCGTGAAACGTGGGCGCTAAAAAAGGGGAAGCGCATGACTTATAGCAAGCTGTGCTATAGCATCGTGAGAATCCCAGACAGCGTGAGCTAGCACCGCAGCAGCAACGTGGCGGCAGGACTCTCTGGAACAGGGACCTGGCGCGCGAGGAGCCGGACAGGCGCGCAAGAGGGGGTCGTGGTGCACGAGGGGCCGGACAGGCGTTGGAGGGACCGGCGGCGATGCTAGAAGGGGCCGGCTAAGCTCGAAGGGCCGGCTCAGCACGAGGGGGGGCGGCTGGGCACGAGGGGCCGGCTAGGGCGCGAGGGGCCAGCTAGGGCGCTAGGGGCTGGCTAGTGCACGAGGGGCCGGCTGGGCGCGCGGGGCCGGCTGGGCGTGAGGGGGCTGGCAATGGCGCGAGAGGCCAGCTAGGGCGTGAAGAGCCAGCTAGGGCGCGAGAGGCCGGCTACGGCACAAGGGGCCGGCGACGGCTCGATGGGCCAGCTAGAGCGCGAGGGGCCGACTAGGGCGCATGGGGCCGGCGACGGCGCGAGGGGCCGGCTAGGGCGTGAGGGGTGGCAGCTAGGCGCAAGGGGCCGGTTGGGCGCGAGGGCCGGCGACGGCGCGAAGGGCAGGCTAGGGAGCGAGGGGCCAGCGACGGCGCGAGGGGCTGGCGATGGTGCGAGGTGCCAGCTAGGCGCGAAGGTGCCGGCTAGGCGCGAGGGGCCAGCTACAGTGCTAGAGGGGCGGATGGGCGCAATAGGGGCCGGCGAGGCGGTAGGCTAGGGCGCTGGGGCGGAAGCAGGTGGGGGGGACCTAAAATCACTCATGATACCCTAAACCCTCTAGAAGGGAATAGACTCTTCTAGAAATAGAATCACCATGCGTATAGCCACACGAGGCTATTGGCTTTAAGGGATTACAGCAGGATTACGCTAGATATAGCGCGCCAGTACATCCCGAGCCTGGTCGGTGATATAATCATAGTAACAGGATGATAATGGAAAAGGAGGAATAGAAACCAAATGAGATGAGATAAATACCAAATGAATCAGGATAAAAAGGGGAATAAAATAGAAAGGCAAAATGGAAAGGGGAAATTTGTGTAACGGGGTCGTACTCTCACACTTCCCCCCCTCAAAGCTGGGTTGGGTAGAAGTAACACCCTACTTGACAAGGTAGTCGCGAAGAGGACGACGGGCGTTACCCATGTCGGATTCAGAGACGCAGCGTCAGAAGGATAATAACCCTTGCAGCAAAGAAGAAGTTCCAAGAGTGCCATTCTGATGACGACAGTGTCCGAGCACGTAGTTGTCCCATTATCGTGGACAAACACGGGCGGCGACGGTGGTTGGCATTCGGTGTAGAGCGTGTTTGGTCTTGATAGAGTTTAAGATGCTGGTATGGAAGGCGTTATGGATCTTTCAAATGGCTGGTTGGCGGAAGTGGAAGTTGACTGAAGTGACCTTTGCTTCAACGATGATAGACCCGCAGAAGCAAGGTTGAAGCTTGGATGGAATATGGCTGATGCCGAGATTACGGTCTGTATAACGGTAGTGATGAATGGAAAAGTGCTTGGGCTGTTGTTGGATGTCCAAGAGGCGCTTGTGTGATCGATCTACAAGATGGTGGATGATGGTGATGAAATCGGAAGCTAGTTGGATTGTAGCAAGAACTGTCTGTTGCTACGGAGTGGGCAGGCTCCGTCCACAGCAAGGAAGGATGGTGTGTATCACCGTCAGTGATATATTAGCAGGTGCAAGTTGTAGTTGGAGATGTGAATGGTTAGAACAGTGTGCTGTAACGTGCAGATGAATGGCTATGTTGTCCGATCTGTGCATGCTGTTACCCACATCTGGTCCACCTGTGAAGATCACGAAGTGTTGGTGGTATGGCAGACGTGTCATAGTAGTGCTTATGTAACAGTCTTGTATCCGATACATGCAGCTTCTGTCGAATGCTGGTCCATGCCTTAGTGGTTGTCGCGAGTCGTACCCCTCTCGGCATTGTAGTGTTGCGGAATGGAGAGCAGAAATCACTAGTAGTAACCCTGTCCACCATGTGGTCTGCTAGTTACACTGCCTTGAGTACAACAGCGCATGCGAAGTGCTGCTCAGTGTATCCCTTGTGTTCAGAACCATGCGAGGGGTTGGTACCATAAATGCGGAGCTGGTAACTTCCATAATTGGCACCAAAGTAGTTTCCCTCGGTGGTTGCTCGAGCAAGGAATCTCAGCTGGCGTAGATTTCCAAATAATCCTCTCCCATTTCCAAATGGTCATTGCTGACAGCCAATCCTATATGACCTTATGCACATCCAATTTAGAAAGGAGGCCATCGGTAGGCATCGGTTTTCTGTGCGCACATATTGAGATAGGTCTTCTGGTGCCATTATGTGTTGTCTCATTCTGTTATTGTCCTTGATGTAGCGTTGATGTCGAAGATGTCTTAGCTACTCAGGATCACTGTTGAAGTCTGCTCCATTTCGGCAAATAGGGGTGTTGTTGGAGATACGCGGAGTCCACTCTCCGGAGTGGCATCGGCGCTCCATTTTCACGCATATCTGCTTCCCGTCGAGGTGGTGCTTGTGATGGATTGGTTGCGACGTAGGTTTTATGACTTCAAAGAAAGCCATAGGCTATGAGGACTTGTATACCGGTAGAGTACCGTTGTCCTCCCATCCTCATAAGAGCAAAATTCTTTTGCTCTTGAGGGTACATGGCATGGCCATGTTGTTCCCCTCGCATAGTGGGTATCTCCTTCCCACTAGCTGGAAATCAATAGTATTGTGCCTGGCCGGGTCTTATGTGATCATACTGGAATATAATCCAGTGTTATCTCCCATTGAGCGGAGAATCATCCATCATGACTTGGTTGTGACTGTTGTGTTGAGTCTCCTGCTGTGGCCGGCGGCAACGGTAGCGACGATGGTGACGGTGGCAGCTGCTGTAGAGAATTCTCTCAACTCGTAGTGGTTGAAGGAGAATCCATCAACTCCCTCTTCCCACAAGAGTGTTCTTGATGGGTGGAACAGGTGTAACTACCAAGAACACGTGCACATTGGTACACATGTGTTGCTCCATTGCTGCCGGTGATGGTTTCCATTTGAGGGTATGAAGATACATTTGCTTCTCCCCTCAATGTATCCATGGGTAGCAATTCCTGGTATGCTCATCCGTGCCTCTGATGTACGGTCGGTAGAGCGCGTGATTGTGTTGTAGTAGTCCGCATCTCCCTCATGTGTTGACACCTTGTGTTGCTCAGCATTCTCCTGTATCATCGAAGTTACGCTGATGCTTGTAACACTTCGGCTTCTGGTAGAATCGCCTCCAATGCATGTGTCGTAGGGTCACTAGTGAAAAAGTACTTGCCGGATTGGAGGTTGATTACTCCTCAATCTGTCAAGCATCGTGACATGCACGGAAAAAAATCCACGCAGGTCATTAACACCTGGAATCGCGATGCATGATTGGTGTGTCGCCTCGTGAGGTCGATGTTGAGACTGCTCGAATCAATCACTTCGGATGGCTGAGATTCTTGATGAAGACGAATCAATCAGCTCCTTCTACGAAATAGTGTCTCACTTGCCTTGACGAGACGGGTTCACTGCGTTGTCGTTGCGTGTGAAATATGCTCATTCGCAGCAACTTGAACTTGGGAGCATTGCAAGAGAAAACGGCTACTTCTTTGCAATCCCATAGGTTGTCGATCAATTTGTATAAAGAAGTGTCTCGTGGATGGAGAACATATCTTCACGCACCCCCATAGTTTTTCCTGGGTGAAGATCTCGTTGTATTGATGTCGATCAATTTTTAACGAAGATGACTTCGTCAAAATAAATCGATCGTTATTGACACTAGACAGAAGATGCGTCGATTGTGCAGTCCCTGGTCACGAATGTTGTCCATGATAATGCTGTTCCATAGTGTAATCTCTGCTGCATTCATGTCGTTGATTCCGTACCAATCCGACGATCCACCTTCTCATGTCTGTTTTCTGCTTGCAGCTATTACCAAGAAGGTAATACTCTGGCAGATTTTCTGACTCTGCAGATGATTTGCGCGCCAAATTCGTCACCAAATGAAGGAATTCGAATTTGGTTGTCCAGATGATGTAAGCGGTGTTGATGGCTGCTGATTTTTTGTTTTGCGCGTCATTCTCCATTTGTCCAAAGTCGCGTTCCATCTCGTCTGTGGAAGCAGAAGTAAATCCGACAGTCAAAACTCCAAGCGATCTGAATATATTTGTTTACAACATCGAATGTGTCGAGGAAAGGTTGCACTATCGATTCATACAAGTCGCTTTTATACTTCCAAAGTACATCAGGTAACCAGGTCTATCTTATTCCAAGGGAATAGACCCTTCTAGAAAATAGAATCACCCTGTGTATAGCCACGCGAGGCTATTGGCTTTAAGGGATTACGGCAGGATTACGCTAGATATAGCGCGCCAGTACATCCCGAGCCTGGTCGGTGATATAATGATAATAACAGGATAAACCAAAGGTTTATGGAAAAGGAGAATAGGAATCCAAATGGAATGAGATAAAGACCAAATGAATCAGGATAAAAGAGGAATGAAATAGAAAGGGAATGAGAAAGGAATGGAATGGGGTCGTACTCTCACACTTCCCCCCTCAAAGCTAGGTGTAGACGTAATACCCTGCTTGACAAGGTAGTCGCGAAGAGGACGACGAGCATGATCCATCTCGGATTCAGAGACCCAGCTATCCTCTGAAGGATCATAACCCTTCCCAACGGATGAGAGCTCCCCGTTGCCATTCCATCGACGGCGGTGAGCAAGCACGGACTCGACCTCGTACTCGTGTTCATCATGGACGAGGACGGGCAGCGGCAGCGGCGGTTGGCGTCCAGAGAAGACCGTGTTAGATCTCGGTAGGGCTTCAAGAGTTGGACATGGAAGGCGTTGTGAATCTTCCAGGTAGCTGGTAGGCGTAAGCGGAAGGTAACAGGAGTGACCTGTGCTTCAACGAGGAAAGGCCCCGAGAAGCGAGGTCGCAGTTTGGATGGGAGATGGCTGATGTCAAGATTGCGCGTGTCGAGAAGTACTTGGTCTCCCACAAGTGATGGTGTGGTCTGTGCGGTGGTGACCGGCCCTGGCGCTTCTGTTGTTGTTGAATGTCGATAAGGCGCTTGTGGGTCCGATCCCAAAGTTTGTGCATGGTCGTGATGAAATCATGAGCGGGTTGGACTGTGGCTAGTATGTTTGGCTGTTGAGGTGTGAGTGGGTGGCGTCTGTAACAGAGGAAGAACGGCGTCTGTCCAGTAGCGGCGTGAGTAGCATTGTTGTAGGCAAACTCCAGTACGTGCAGATGCAAGTCCCGTTTAGAGATTTTGTCTAGGCATGCTGCTCGGAGTAGTTGCTCTACAATTTGGTTAAGACGCTCAGTCTGGCCGTCTGTCTGCGGATGGTATGCAGATGACATGGCGAGTCGGGTCCCGAGCAGAGACATAAGTTCCTTCCAGAACTTGCTGGTGAACTTGGGGTCTCGGTCGGAGATGAGTGTGGTCGGGATGCCATGTTGTGAAATGATGTAGCAAACAAAGAGTTGTGCCGTCTCCTCGGTGCGTGATGTCATGTGTGTCGGGATGAAGTGTCCCATTTTGGAGAACTTGTCAATGACGACGAGGATCGCATCATGACCGCGTGTGGTAGTTGGTAGCCCGGTGATGAAGTCTAGGCTGATCACGTGCCATGGTTGTTTTGGGACAGGAAGAGGCTGTAGGCAGACCCCGCCTTTTTCTGCTTGCTGCTCTTCATCCGCTGACATGTAGGGCACGAGGTGACGAATTTCTGTACGTCATCTGCCATGTGGGGCCAGTAGTAGTGTTTGGTGATATCAGTAAGCGTCTTGTTGCTTCCGAAGTGTCCTGCGTACAGGACGTCGTCGTATTCTTCGAGTAGTAACTGGTGCAATGGAGGGTAATTAGGTACCCAGATCTTCGTTGATCCTTTCCGGTACGCGATGTTGTTGTCCCACTGTAGCACATGTCCCTTTTCTGCCAAAGGATTTCGGGGTTGATGGTGTACCCGTGTGTGAAGAGACCCTTGAGGAATGGATTCATCCCTTCAACCTGGATTGCGGCAACGTGTGCAGGCCGGCTAAGCGCATCGGCTTTGTTTTTATGGCCATGCTTGTACACGATGTCGTAGTGGAAGTGTGTCTCAAGGAAGTCGATACACCGAACCTGTCGCCTTGAGAGGCTGGTTGCGTCTTCAAATATTTTAGGCTGCAATGGTCGGTGTAGACTGTTGTCCTTCGAGTAACATCTCCCCGTTTTGAAGGCGATGATGATAGCAAGGGCCTCCTTGTCGTGTATCGGGTGGTTGAGCTCTGCTCCATGTAAATTTTTGCTGAGGTAGGCAATTGGTTGCAATCCATTCCCCTGGTCTTGCATGAAGACTGCTCCTACTGCCTGGCCGCTAGCGTCAGCTTCGATGACGTAGTCGCGTTCAGGGTCTGGCAAGATGAGTACGGGTGCGGACGTGAGTGCTTGCTTTAGCTGCTCCACAGCTTCTTGGTGTTGTGGCTCCCATTTATAGGGCGTGTTCTTCTTCAGCAGATTCGTGAGTGGCCCGGCGATTTTCGCGTATTGCGGCATGAATCTGTTGTAGTAGTTAGCGAAGCCAAGGAACTACTGTAACTCCTTAACGTTCTCGGGTGTTTTCCATGTACGCACAACTTCGATTTTCTTGGGGTCGATGTGAACTCCTTGAGCGCTTACGATATGTCCAAGGAATTGGCCTTTCTCGAGGGCGAAGTCGCTCTTGGATAGTTTGACGTAGAAGCGTTCTCGTCGAAGAATCTCGAAGACGCGTCGCAGGTGTTCGACGTGTTGTTGCATGTCGCGCGAGTAGACGAGGATGTCGTCCAAGTACACCACTACGCACGCATCCAAGAGTGGGCGTAGGGTGTGGTTCATCTCTGCTTGGAACGTTGCAGGTGCGTTGGTGAGTCCGAACGGCATCACCAGATACTCGTACGATCCGTACCGAGTTCGGAAGGCAGTTTTGTGAGCAGAATCATCCGCCATTCGTATCTGCCAGTATCCGGACCGCAAATCTAGTTTTGAAAATACCGTGGCTCCCCAAAGCTGGTCAAGCAGGTCATCGATTCGTGGTATCTGGTACTTGTTCTTGATAGTCTGCTTGTTGAGAGCCCGGTAGTCGATGCACATGCGCAGGCTTCCGTCCGGTTTCGGTGTGAAGAGTACTGGGGCACCGTATGGTGAAGTGGATGTCGGATGAGTCCTTTGGCGAGGAGATACTCGATATGTTTCTTCATGTCGGCTAGTTTTGTAGGGCTTAGCCGATACGGTGCTAGGAAGGTCGGTTTTGAGCCTGGTTCCTCCACGATCTCGTGTTGGTGGCGTTTGGTATGGCGGTAGTTCATCCGGAAGGTCGTTGGGATGAATGTCTTGGAACTCCTTCAGTAATCCCTTGATTTTTTCTGGAGGTTCCGAGCTTTCTCTCCGTCATTCTCCACCTCTGTTGCTATCGCCAGAAGTCCGGTGTCGGTTCGCTTGACGTCCTTCTCGAACCTGGGAAGTGTCTCCACTGGGATATCTCCTGTATCGTCCCAGTTGGGTAGCTGGACTCTCCTTCCTTTGTTGTAGATGCTTGCGGTGCGGTATACCTAGTTGATCTCGAGGTTGAATTTCTTGAGGAAGTCTCGCCTGAAGATAAGGTCAAGCCCTTTTATGTTGGTGATGGGGAGTGCATGTCTTTAGCGCAGTGGACCGATTTGTAGGTGTAGCACTGCTTCGCCGTGTACTGGTAACTTGCTGCCATCCGCCATCGTTGCAGAAAACGCAGATGGCTTGTACTCTTCTGGAAGTCGGTCGATTGTTGCCTTGTCGCATATGGTGTGCGATGCTCCGCTGTCCACGAGCGCTTGGAGGCATCGTCCTTTGCAGATGACCTCGAGCACGAGGGGCAGGCGTTGCTCGGAGTACCCAAAGATAGTTTCATTGATTGGGTCATAGGGTACATCTCAATATTCGTTGCTTCCTACTCCTTAGCTGGCCACTGGTCGAGGCTGCTTGGAGAAAGGCTCTTCTCCAGGGCCCGGAGTTTCCGTAACGACTGTTCGTATCGTTGACGAAGTTGCTGAGTTGGATGCATCCGAAGGAGAAGTTCGGGGTTTTTGCAGCTTCCTGTAGACCCCCAGCTTCCTCTTGAGGTGCTTCAGCTCCACCGACGTCTTCTCTGGGGAACGGGTAGTCGTTGCGGGCTGGTGTCGGTAGAGGACGTTAACTCTGTGGAAAGGTTGGCTTCTTTCCACACTCCTGAATTTGGTCCCCAAGTTCTCAGGTACCGGTACGATCTCCATAATTTTCTGCTTCTGTTGGAGTCCCTCCCGAAATTTCTCCAAGGCTCTAGCCCCTCGAGAATTACAAGTTTTCATTAAAGCATCTTTATAAGATAAATTTAACAAAATCTTATAATTTATTGGGTCTTCAAGGAGTTTCCCTGTCTTGACAGAGTCCTTTTGCCGCGGGGTTAGATTTTTCCTCGGCGATTTTCTCTGGCGAAGACTGGTCGTGGGGTGGAGATTTTTCTTCATCATTTTCGCTCCTCCTTCGTCTGCCGCTACTTCTTCGTTGTCCTTCACACTTGATTTTGGTGCGTCTGCGTGCTTCTTCCGCGACCACGCTGTGTTTACGTTGTTTGCCGCGCCTGCCGCCGTCGCACTTGCTGACCCCTCCTCTGGTCCTTTAATTGCTCTTAGCGGTCCAGCACTCCCCTTGGGTTCCCTTTCAGACCTGCACATCCCCCTCGTTCTCCCGGAACTTAGTCGGTGTCGGCTGTCTTCAGGACCTCGGCGTCACCACTACGTTCCCAGGTCACGAGCGATACGCTGTTTATACCGAGGCCGCCTTAGGGTTCCCCCTTGCAAGATTCCCCCGGGACCACGTGTCTGGCCTTTTTACGCTGGACACTGCTTTCCCCCCAGGTGGGGCGTCCTCCTCGAGTTCTGCGTCTACCCAGGTCGACGCTGCGTGCTCGTGTCGGTGGCTCACTCACCCGTCGCTTATGTGGCACCACCACCTAGGTCACCCCGCACTCCCGCGTCTGCGTCACATGTCCCAGCACAGTCTCGCCCTAGGTCTCTAGCGTCGCTTCCTGCCCTCCCTCCCTCGCTGGCAGTGCCGTGCACGCCTTGCATCATGGGCCGGTTCTGCCATGCTCCTCACTCCTCCTCGCTTTGTCCTGCCACCGCACCCCTCCAGACTCTCCACCTGGACGTCTGGGGCCCAGCCCCCGTCCCTTGTCTGCGTCGCGAGCGCTACTTTGTAGTGCTCGTTGATGACTACACGTGCTACACCACGGTGTATCCCTTTGAGCTAAAGACTTACGTGCCCGACGTTCTTATCCCGTGGGTCGTAGCTGCGTGCCTCCACCGCGGTCTCCCTATGCTGTGTCTCCACTGTGACCATGGCGACGAGTTCGCCTCTGGTCGGCCGGGGAAAATCTGTCGTGCGAAGGGCATCACCCAATCGTACACCCTACCGGACTCCCACAGCAGAATGGGGTCGCTGAGCGACGCATCGGCTTGGTCATGGAGGTGGCTCGTATCTCCATGATTCATGCCGGTGCACCCCATTTTCTGTGGCCATTCACCGTTCGCTATGCCGCTCACTAGCTTAACCTGTGTCCGCGCTCCCAGCGGCCGCAAGTTTCGGCGACCCTTCTTTGGACCGGGTTCCCTGGTGACGCATCCGCGTTCCACGTCTTGGGCTGCCTTGCTCACGTTCGTGCCTCTGGCCCGGACAAGCTCACTGCCCGCACTGTTCTCTGTGTCTTTCTCGGTTTCCCCCTGGACTCCTCTGACTGGCAATTTTACCACCCGCTGTCTCACCGCTTCCTTCACTCTCGTGACGCCACGTTTGACAAGTTTGTCTCCTTTTACCACCGCTTTCCCCACCGTGGTCTCCCAGTTTCCCCTCCCGTGTTTCTGGTTCCCACTCCCCCCGGTAGCCCCTACTCACCTTCCTCCCCATCTGGTGTGTCTCACGTCACTCTCCAGGTGTCTCCTCCGCTGCCGCAGTCGTCGCCGCCGCAGCCACCGCCACCTCAGCAGTCACCGCCGTTGCCACAGCAGCAGCCGTTCGTGGCCTCTTGGGGTGCTGGCGTTGAGGAGGGTGCTAGTCCTGGGGTTCCTGTCGTGGCTTGTCCTGGATGGCTCGGGGCATGGCACCGGTGCTGGAGAGGGTTCTTGCTCTGGGGGTGCTCGTTCTGGGGGTGCTGGAGTGGAGTGTTCCAGAGGTAGCCGTGGTGCAGCTGGCGGTTCAGGTGTCGGCGTCGAGCAGCAGCAGCAGCAGTCGCCGCCGGTGTCCGCCCTTCGCCTGCTCGGCCTTACCTCCCATGACCGCTCGCCTGCGCCTCCCCCGCCGCCTCCTCCCCTTCTTGTCCACGGTCCTGTGTTTCCTCCGTCGGATTCGTCCCCGGCTCGTTTCCCACCTCGTTCCCCTCCTGTTACTCCTCCTCTGTCTCCTGACCCGACGCCTCCGTATCACGTCTGGTCTTGCCGTCCCTCTCGTGCTCGTCCTGTCTCCCTTGTTCAGCGTTCTCACCCTATGTTGCTTCGTTCCCACACGTCTCGTCCTCCCCTCCTGCCTTCGCCTCCTCCGTTGTTGCTTGCTGTCGTGCCTCCCTCTCTGTCTGACTACCTTCGTGCATCTCGTCCTCTTGTTCCTCGGGTCCTTGCCTCCCTTGTTAACGGCCCGTCTGTTCCTCTCTCGAGGCTTGACACTCTTGTCGCTGCTGTCGCTGACTTTGCCTCTACCCGCCGCCTTGACTACACCATCGCTCTAGTCTCTGACCCTGTCCATCCTCCGTCCGTCGGGGGTGATCCTGCCCTTGGGAGTGACATCCAAGAGGACACACAGTACGAGCTCGCTTTCCTGTTCGAGGCTACTCCCCATCTCTGCTCCATGCTGCTAGGTCCTGAGGGTGACCCACACGCCTTTGACATCCCGACCCCTTGCACTTACGCTGGGGCCTCTCAGTGGATAGTTGCCATGGAGCAGGAGATGGCATTTTAGAGATCCACCGGCACCTACGTTGATGCAGTTCCCCCACCTGGGGTGAACGTAGTCGACCACCTTGGACTAGTAGTGCCACCCTGAGCTGTGTGCTTCTTGCTCAGCACTACCCCTTATCTAGCCTAGGGGGTGTGTCAACTTATGCATACATTCTGCATGTAGTAGTTATAGGCTATAATAGGTGTATATTCTTAGAGAGTACAACCCAACCCTATATCTTGCTTGTTCTTTCTTGTTTCTAACCGTTCTAGTATTCTAACTCATGAAACCAAATGAATCAAGATAAAAACGAGAATGAGATAGAGAAGAAATATAGAAATGAGAAAGAAGTGTAACAGGGTCGTACTCTCACACTTCTCCCCCTCAAAACTAGGTGGTAGAAATAACACCCGGCTTGACAAGGTAATCGCGAAGAGGACGACGGGCGTTACCCATATCATATCCAGAGACCTAGCTATTTTGAGAAGGATCATAACTTTTCCGACGGATGAGAAGCTCCTGGTAGCCATTCCGATGACGGCGGTGTGCAAGCATTGAATCGACCTCGTACCCAGTTTCGTCATGGACGAGGATGGGCGGTGGCGGCGGCGGTTGGCATCCAGTAAAGATCGTGTTGGGATCTCGGCAGAGCTTCAGAAGTTGCACACGAAAGGCATTGTGAATATTCCAGTTAGCTAGCAAGCGTAAGCGGAAGATAACGGGGGTGACATGTGCTTCAACGAGGAAGGGCCCATAGAAGCAAGGTCGCAGTTTGGATAGGAGATGGCTGATGTCAAGATTACGGGTAACTATGAGAACTCGGTCTCCTATGGTGATGGTGTGGTCATTGTGGTGGCGATCGGCCTGGTGCTTTTGTTGCTGCTGAATATGGATGAGGCCCTCGTGGGTCCGATCCCTAAGTTGATGCATGGTGGTGATGAAATAATGTGCGGGTTGAATTTTTGCTGGTGTTGTCTGTTTCTGTGGTGTAAGTGGGTTGCGTCCGTAACAGAGAAAGGAGTTGCTCTACGATTCGGTTGACGCGTTCGGTTTGTCTGTCTGTCTGAGGATGGTATGCAGATGACATGGCGAGTTTGATCTCGAGCAGAGACATCAGTTCCTTCCAGAACTTGCTGGTGAACTTAGGGTCTCGGTCGGAGATGCGTGTGGTTGGAATGCCATGTTGGGAGATGATGTACGTACAAACAGTTGTGACGTCTCATTGCCATGGCTGTTCTGGGACAGGTTCAGGCTGTAGCAGTCTTGCTTTCTTTCGCTTACTGCTCTTCATCCGCTGACATGTGTCGCATGAGGTGATGAATTTCTGTACATAGTCTGTCATATGGGGCCAGTAGTGGTGCGTTGCAGTACTGGTGAGCGTCTTATGCTACCGAAGTGTCCGGCATACAGGACATCTTGGTATTCTTCGAGCAGTATGTTAGGATTAAGGACGAGTCTAGGTGAACTTAGGAACTAGAATTACTCAAAATATAAATCCGAAATTCTGGACAGAAAAGTCGTCTTCACAAGAAACGACGTTGACGAAAACCTAGCCGTTGGAATGTCGCGAAACTCGGATATGTTGTAGCTCTTAATCTCAGCTACCGTTCCCAATTTGAATCACGTTGATTGATGAAGTATTCGCGACGCTATGGCTTTCGACGCACTAGGGGGTAAGCTGTAGGAGGAGAACTTAACTCAATCTCAAGAGTTCAATCAAAGTTCAAGAATCTCACAAGGAATTAGAAGGAGCAAGAGAAAGGTTGGGATAGAAGAGAGGGATGAGAGGGAAGGTCCCAAGAGAGTCCCCAACCAAGGAAACCCCATAAGCACAAAGATTCCCTCCCTATAGGAACCTCAACTTTGACCTTTGTCCCTTCCCAACCAATCCATCCAAGTTGGCCACCCTTGCCAACCTAGCTTGGTTGTTCCCAACCTATTTGCAGCTGTTACAGTAGAGTGACAAGTTTCCCCAACCCCAAAGGTCCCAACTCCATATAAAGTCACCCCACAACTTCACTTTGTAACCGCCGCAATTGTAACGCAAGCTCATGAACTTTGAATCTTCATAGCTTTCGCGTTCTTGCTCCGATTGAAGCGATTCTTGTTGCGTCGGAAAGATCTTCTCAAGATCTATCATCACAAATACCTGCTCAGACAGAATAACACAAAACACATTCCCAAACTCCAGAACACACCACACAAATTCTTTCACACACAGTCAAACCATACATACGAATTGAAACAAGAGATGAGAGGCAGACAGAATGTGATAGCATATGATGACATCACACAACAATCTCCCCCTCTGGCTGCCAACCATCACCACCATACCAACATCTCAAGCATGCATACTCAATGCACACTCATCCCAGCAAGCTTCATGCCCTTCCAATGATCCGCCTCCGCCAGACGCTTGTGAATATCTGCTGCCTGCTGATGGTCTTCACTATCTCCCGCACCTCTTATCAAGAGTCTCCTCACCCAGTGCCACTTAGGCCTTATGTGTTTTGTCAGACCATGCAGACAAGCATTCTTGGCCAGCTTCACTGCAGACTCTTGTCACAGAACACAACGTCGGCTCCTCCTGACCACTCCCAACTCCTCCAACAGACGCCTCAGCCATACCACTTCCTTGGCCCCATGGTGTAAGGCCATGTACTCAGTCTCACATGAAGACAATCCCACCTCATTTTGCTTCTTGCTGCGCCAGCTCACAGCACCACCTCCCAGCAAGCACACATAACCCCCAATGCTGGTGCCATCCGCTTTCACTGAGTTGAAGCTAGCGTCAGTATAGCAACTCAAGAGCATCTCTCCACTCTTCACATCTGCAGCACCTCTCTGCAACCGCTGCCTCACTCCACTGTACTCCAATCCCACTGATGCCGTAGCACTCACATAGCGGACCAGCCTCTTGGCCGCTTCCAGCTGCTCATGACTAGGGCGTGAGACCACACTAGCCAACCGTGATGTAGAAAATGCAATGTCAGGCCGTGTATGATTTGCAGCATAATTCAGCGACCCAACCATCGAATGAAACAGCTTCCTGTCACTATCACCCACTACCTCCTCATCAGCACATGGCTCCACAGTAAACCCTGAAGGTAGTGGTGTTGCTGGCTTTCCCCCATCTTGCAGCCCATACTTCTCAGCCAGCCCCTCACAGTACTTCCTCTGGTGCAACCTCAGCACACCCTTTTCCACATCTCTCTCCACGTGCATCCCCATGTAGTACTTCACCTCACCTATCTTGGAGCACTTGAACTGCATCTCCAGCATCTGCTCTGCGCTGTCCAGCAAAGCAGTGGATGCAGAAAAGAGAAGGATATCATCCACATACACCAAGAGCATGAGGATTTCATCCTTCTCCTGCAGCAGGAACAGGCTGGGGTCACACTCACTCTTCTTGAAACCCCCAGCCAACAGCGCCTCCTCCAACTTGTGATACCATGCACGAGGCGCCTGCTTAAGGCCATAGATGGCCTTCTTCAGCCTGCAGACCCTGCCGCTCCCATCATCCAGCCCCTCTGGCTGCTTCATGTACACCTCCTCCAGAATGATCCCATTCAGAAAGGCAGTCACAATGTCCATCTGCCGTACCTTCCATCCCAGGAGTGCAGCTATCGCCAACAGCACCCTCAGTGTTGTTCCTTTCCCCACAGGAGCAAACACCTCATCATAGTCCTTCCCCTTTGTCTGCTGAAACCCCCGTGCCACAAGCCTAGACTTGTAGCGGGTCAGCTCCCCTTCAGGTCCATACTTGTGCCTGTAGATCATCTTGGAAGTGATTGCCTTCTTCCCAGGAGGCAAGTCACACAGGTCCCATGTCTCGTTTTCAATCAGGGACCCGAACTCCTCATCCTCACTCGCCTTCCACTTCTCCCCATTTGGTCCATTCAAGGCCTCCTCTCGAGTCTTGGGCTCAGGGATTGGTGCCCAGTAGCAGTGAGCGATCTCATCTTCCTCAATCTGCTCAACCACACTCCCAGCCTGCACCACATTTGGCTTGCCTCTTCCCCCATAGGTCAGCCTCACCGGAGAGCGCACATCCCTCCTAGGTCGCTCAGGCGGGTGTGGAACTCGAGGTGGAGACTCATGTTGCTGCTGCTGCTCCACTTCAGCTGCTCCCCCTTCTTCAGTCACCCCAGATATCTCCTCCTCAGACACTGCAACCTCCACCTGCCTTGAAGGCTGCTGCAACTCATCTGCCTCCACAATGAGTGGTGTAGATGGAAGCTTCTGTTGCTGCTGCTTCCATTCCTTATAGTACAGGGACTCAAGAAACTTCACATCCCTTGACACTGTCAGCTTCTGGGTGGTCAAGTCCCATAGCAGCCATCCCTTGTGATCCTTTGCAATCCCCAAGTGCACACCCCATCTTCCAGAAGCCTCCAACTTCCCCCTTTTCTCCTTAGGCACATGAAACACTACCATGCACCCAAATGCCCTCAGCATATTCACAGCTGGAGCACTCCCATACCACTTGGTATATGGGATCCACTCCTTATCCCCAACTGTAGCCAGCACCCTATTCTTCACAAGGGCGACCTGCCTCAGTGCAGACACCCAAAACGGATCAGGCAGCCCTGCACGCCCAAGGAGAGTGCGTGCCCCCTCCTGCAGGGTCCTGTTGAACCTCTTAGCCACGCCATTCTGCTGTGGGTTGTAGGGCACTGTTAGTTGATGTTGGATCCCCTTCCTCTTCAACTCCCCCTCAAAATCAGCTCCAATGAACTCCCCACCATTGTCACTGCGGATCACCTTCACCTTGTGTCCGCATTCCCTCTGAGCTCTAGGCATCCACTCCTTAAGGACAGCCGCTGCCACCTCCCCCTTGCTCTTCAAAGGGTAAACCCACACTGCCCGAGTGTGGTCATCCACAATTGTCAAGAAATAGCGGCTGCCTGAGAGGGAAGGGGCTCTGGTGGGCCCCACCACATCCATGTGCACAAGTGCAAGTGGGGTCTTGGCTGGTCCTGTAGTGCTGTTGAAGGGGAACTTGGAGAACTTGGTCTCCAAGCATGTAGGGCAGCTCCCAATCTCCTTCACTCCCCCTTTCACCTCCAAGCCCTTCAGGCTCCCATCCTTCACCAACTTTTGCAGCATAGGGAAGTTCACATGATACAGCCTCTCATGCCATGTCTCCCAATCGGCCTCTCCACTCTTTGATGAAGCCTTAGCCCATGCCGCACTCGCATCCACACCAGCAAGCACCTCACCATGTGTCTGCTGCTTCTGCACTTTCTTGACTGCTTCCAGGACCCCATCAGTTGGTGCAGTTGCATCTCCTCCTGCTGTTGCCTTTGCCGCTGCTGCCGTTGCTGCTGTTGGAGTCTTCCCATTCCAAGGGATGATGGGCAGCTGCCACAGGTCCTTGATGCAGCTGGTCTCCTCTTCCAGACTCCACAGCACCTTCTTCCCAAGCTTAGCACGGCAGTTGGTTGGTCCAAAGGTCACTTCGGCCTTACTCTTCTGCAGTCGCCGCACAGAGAGAAGGTTAGCAGACAAGCCTTTAACCAGCAGAACATTCCCAAGCCCCACAAGCTCCCCATTAGCTCCCTTAACCTTGGCATTCCCAACACCAATCACGGGGAGCAAAGCACCTGACGCTGCTGCCACATACTTAATCTTCCCAGGGGGTTTTACCTCATCAAGCAAATCTGCCCGTGGAGTCATGTGACTGGTGCAACCCGAATCAATCACCCAGTGCGTGAGAGGGTGCATCACAACCTTTCCCACAGATCCCACATCACCCTCATGCCCATGCACATCCTCAACCATGAGATACATCCCAGGATAGGCGTTACCTTGTGCACCTTCACCTTGTGCACCTGAGCCTTGCACAGCGCCACCTTGTGCGCGTTCACCACTTGGCGGCTTCATGCCTGGAGGTGACCATCCCTCCAGCCTGCTGAAGCACTTGAACCAAGGATGCCCGACCTTCTTGCAGTACCAGCAGGTGCCCTCCATTCTGGTACTCCCCCTGCCACTGGAGCTCCCATGCCCCTCATTATAGTCACCTCGGCCTCTACCTCTGCCAAAGCTTCTCCCACGGCCTCGGCCTTTCCAACCCCCTCTTCCTCTGCCGCGCCCTGCAGCTCCATACCCCTCAGCAGTCTTAGTGGCAGCACCGCCTCCCACATGGCGTCTGCGGAAGTCCTCCTGCAGAATCTGCTGCCTTAGCCACTCAGGTGTCCATTGATCTTGCTGAGAGTTGAGGGTGGGGATGAGGTTATCCCACGAGTTGTCCAACACCGAGATGATCTTGGTGCACTGCTGCAGCTGAGATACACTGCTGCCCGCTGCTGCCATCCTTGCATAGGTGTCCTTGATCTTGTCAAGGACCGGCTTCACATCGTCCCCTGGTCGCATGGAGATGGCAGCAAGTTCCTTCTCGAGCACGATCACCATCGGGAGAGTGTTGGGCTGAATCACATCGCGTAGTAGTTTCCACGCCCTTGGACCCGAATCATCCGCTTCCACAAGATCCTTGATGTGCTCGAACATCTCCTTGTTGACCGATTGAAGGATGAGGTCGAAAAGCACCGCGCTTTTCTCAATCCACCGTTCGCGTGCTTCGCCTTCTTCCGGCATCTTCTCTTCCCCAACAGCAATCTTCAGTAGCTTGTAGCGTTTGAAGGCACTCCTCATCCGTCCGCTCCATTCCTCATAGTTGGAGCCATCCAAAGCTTCAACTTTTGATGGCGGCGGCTCACTTGTCTTCTCAGCTACAGCTCCTCTTCCATTAGCATCTCCTCCTCTCTCATTCATCTTCTCCTTGAGAAATGACGAATTTCAGCCCCCCTTTGCTGTCCACACTCAGCTCCCTCGATATTTTCACAAGTGTCGGCGTCCACGAAATTTCGGCAGAGTTTCCCTTAGCGGAAGACACATCCAACCTTTAGAACACCACTTAGGCACACCCACAGGCCATGGTGGGTCTAGAAGGGTCTTCACACTTCTGTAGACTCCTCTCAATGTCCTTAATATCGCTCTGATACCACTTGTTAGGATTAAGGACAGAGTCTAGGTGAACTTAGGAGCTAGAATTACTCAAAATATAAATCCGAAATTCTGGACAGAAAAGTCGTCTTCACAAGAAACGACGTCGACAAAACACTAGCCGTTGGAATGTCGCGAAACTTGGATATGTTGTAGCTCTTGATCTCAGCTACCGTTCCCAATTTGAATCACGTTGATTGATGAAGTATTCGCGACGCTATGGCTTTCGACGCACTAGGGGGTAAGCTGTAGGAGGAGAACTTAACTCAATCTCAAGAGTTCAATCAAAGTTCAAGAATCTCACAAGGAATTAGAAGGAGCAAGAGAAAGGTTGGGATAGAAAGAGAGGGATGAGAGGGAAGGTCCCAAGAGAGTCCCCAACCAAGGAAACCCCATAAGCACAAAGATTCCCTCCCTATAGGAACCTCAACTTTGACCTTTGTCCCTTCCCAACCAATCCATCCAAGTTGGCCACCCTTGCCAACCTAGCTTGGTTGTTCCCAACCTATTTGCAGCTGTTACAGTAGAGTGACAAGTTTCCCCAACCCCAAAGGTCCCAACTCCATATAAAGTCACCCCACAACTTCACTTTGTAACCGCCGCAATTGTAACGCAAGCTCATGAACTTTGAATCTTCATAGCTTTCGCGTTCTTGCTCCGATTGAAGCGATTCTTGTTGCGTCGGAAAGATCTTCTCAAGATCTATCATCACAAATACCTGCTCAGACAGAATAACACAAAACACATTCCCAAACTCCAGAACACACCACACAAATTCTTTCACACACAGTCAAACCATACATACGAATTGAAACAAGAGATGAGAGGCAGACAGAATGTGATAGCATATGATGACATCACACAACAGCAACGAAGTCAAGTGTGAAGGACAGCGAAGTAGTAGCGGCAGACGAAGGAGGAGCGAGTGTAGAGCCTAGGCTAGACAAAGCAAACGGTCCTACGCCTGATGCAGCAAGGGAGTATAAACTACACACAGGTGCTACGCCTAAGCTAGAGAACAGAGGGTACTAAGATCCGGACACACTAGAAATGTTAGCATACAGAGAATGCAGGGCAGAACTAATCTGATCCATGTCTAAGTCAAAAACAGACACACCGTGGTGCAGCAGACTGGGCCAGACGGGAAGGTCCGGGGCCATGGCCAAGCGGCGACGAAAGAGGTCGTCGAGGCGGCGGAAGTAGCGGGCGGTCAAGTGCGGGCGGCGGCACACAATGCCATGGAGGGGACCGGTCTGGAGCTGGTACTGGCACCTCAGAGCACCGAAACCATCGGTAGACGCCGAGCTGTGAGGGCCGCCACCGCGGCCACCACCTCCAGGGGCACCTGGCCACCCCAGCGGGAGGTGGGCCCACGGCTGCTGCTGCTGCTGCTGTTGCGGCTGCTGCTGCGACTGATGCTGCTGCGTCTGCTGCTGCTCTTGGACACCAACCCCATCCCCCTCGTCAGAACCACTGTCCCCGCCACCACCACTACCACCACCAGTGCCACCACCATGCCCTCTCTTGGGACCGCGATGGCCCCGATGCTGTCGCTGCTGCGGGAAGGCCGCAAATGCGGTCTCAGGGGCAGGGGCAGCCGTAGCGACCGTGGCGGAAACGTCAGCATACGTGCACTGGGAGGGAGCACAGCTCTGAAAGATAGGGACTACCGCAACACCGCTCGACTGAGCAATATTGCGCTGGCGAGTCTCTATCTCAGAAAGGCAATTGAAAATGGCGGTTAGGGTGAGGTCACCGGGGTGCTGGCTAAGGAAGTTGTCGCGGGCAGTGGCTAAGCGGTCAGGCAGGCGCATAGCAATATGGTATAGGGTAGCGTAGAACGGTGGTGGAAAGGCAGTAAGCTGGGCTGCAGTGCTAGAAGCGCGGTAGCTAGTCTCTAGTGCACGGAGGTGAGTGGCGAGGTCAGTGACAATGGGGAAAGCAGAAAGACCGGGGAATAGCATGGGGAGGATCAAGCGGCCAGCGGAGGCGGAGGCGGGTGTGGAGTAGCGCGCAACTACTGCATCTAGAAAATCCTTGGCGTTCACGACATCAGTGAAGCACAGACGCTAAGACAGAGGAAGCACATAACTAATGGCGAGCTGCGCTACAGCATCGCGAGAATCCCAAACAGCGCGAGCGAGCGCAGCAGCAGAAAAGGTCTCACACTCAGCAGTTGTGGGGTCAGCAGGGAGGGGATCAGGCACGGGGGGGCGGGGAAGCAAGCCATCAACATGCATAGCCAGGGAGTGCCCGTCCTGGCGCTGACGTGTGAGGTGCCGGCGAAGATCAACAAGCCAGGCGGTGAAGTGGATCACGGGCCCCTCCACGTCCAGGCAAAGTACTGCGCCTGCCATTGTGCAACGTCAGCGGCACAACGTCACGGCGGCACTGCGTTATGGTGGCACAGCGACACAGCGGCACTGTGGCAGGACTCTCCAGTGAGAAGACCGGGCTGAAGGCCGAGGATGGTCCGAGGCGCGCAGAGCCGGCAGGGCGCAAAGGGCCGGTGGAGCGCTGGGGCCAGATGGCGCGCGAGGGCTAGTGGGCGCTCAAGGGGCCGGCGGGGTGGCTAGGGTCGGCAAGGCGCGAAGGGCCGACGTGGCGCAAAGGGGTCGGTGAGGCGCGAAGGGGCCGGCAAGGCGCGTAGGGGCCGGCGGGCACGGGAGGGGTCGGCGAGGTACGCGAGGAGCCGGCAGGCGCATGAGGGGCTGGCGAGCGCGAAGGCCGATGAGGCGCGCGATTGGCCGGGGGGGTGCGTGAGGGGCCAGGCACGTGCGCAAGGGGCCGATGAGGCGCTAGGGGCCGGCGGGGCGCTAAGGGGCCGGCACGATGCGCTAGGGGCCGGCACGATGCGCTAGGGGCCGGCGGGGTACGCGAAGGGGGGGGTGGGCGGCGCGGCACTTAAGGGGCAGCAGGCACGCTAGTGGCCGAGTATCAAAGTTAACGAATGACAAGAACTGTGGCATACAAAAGAATATAACCTAGTGGGTTGTACTCTCTGAGGCACAACCCTAAGTAGTCTATAGCAACATACAAAGATATGTTTGACACACCCCCTAGACTGGATAGGGGCAGTGCATGGTGAGAGACAAGCAGCTCAGGGTGGCACTACTAGTCCAACCTCTGAGACAAGGGTCTGAAGACCAGTCAAACGAGTACAGACAAGGCAAGAGCAAAACCCAGGTGGCACTACTAGTCCAGCCACTGGGAAGAGGCAACAAGTCCAGTCATGGTAATATACATAAAGGTCCATACACAATCAAGGTCCTAGCAAATGAGAGGCTACAGGAGCAAGACCAAGCTGTACACAGTGCCGCTGATGATCTTTAGGCGCAAGCGCCTTCGTAAAGATATCAGCTATGTTGGCACCGGAGGCCAAGTGTACTACGCGGGCCTGGCGATGCTGCTATAGGGTTTAGGGTTGGGAGGAAGTACCGCAGCTGGATGTGCCTCGCTCTGCCCTCGAGTCTGGGCTCCTGACATAGGAGGATCATGGCCCTGTTGTTAATGTACAGGACCAGGGCAGAACTAGGCCGCTCACCTAAGTCTGTGAGCACGAAAGTCAGACAATAGAGCTCCTATGCCGCCATGGCACCAGCAGAGATCTCAGCCTCGCAGGTAGACTGGGCCAAAGACGATGAACGGGTGGACCGCCATGAGATGGCACCTGCACCAAGGCTAAAGCAATAGCCCTGGGAGGACCGGAGAGTCTCTGCAACGTCGACCCAAGAAGCGTCAGTGTGCCCGGTAAGGACCACTGGTCTGCGTCCTCCTAGCACTAGCCCCAAG